TGTCGAAGTCCCAAACATTTATATATAATTACAGCGTTGGTTCATTTCATGCATTCCGCCCATAAAATCGTCAGTTAACGTTCAAACAGTAATATTAACTCAAATGACATCTTAATTGATAGGTAAAATTGTCAAAACAAATTATCCAAAAAAAAATGTTTGTTTTCTTCAAATCCTTCAATCTTTTCATAGACATCACATTCTCATCATCGATAATTATATGATCAGATAACAATTCAATCCGATTTGTTATAATAATCGAATCGATAAATTATTTTTATGACATATTATTTGTCACTAAAATAAATAAATGAGAAAATAAAAATAAATAAACTACATTTGGTACTATAATTTGTATGTATTATTAAATAATTTTTAGATTGATTAAAAATTAAAAATAATATTATATTATATTTATGACAGTATACTATGTGATCATTCACTCCAAATAAGGTTTATCTTATATATAGATAAATATAATGTAATATCCATTTGGAGTGAATGATGACATAGTATACTTACATAATAGAGGAAATTACACCAAGGCATGTTTTTAGAATGTCAATTTCACAAATCAGGTAACCACTTTAACTTTTCAAAAAACAGGTTTTATTTTATTTTATTAAATATTAATTATATTAAACCTAATCAAACCTAAAAAATTTCCCAAATTCATTTTCTTCAGTAATCCGTCCATTATCTCACTGTTCTTCTCCTCCACGCCGCCACCATTTTCTTCAGCAATCCGTCCATTTCCCTCGCCTTCTCTGTGAAGCCGACATCGCCTTCTCCTCTCCTCTCTGCGTAGTTCGCCGATCGCGACGCCTCGCAGCAGACGCTGCCCAGTCGCGGCAACGTTGACGCTGCCCAGTTCAAGCAATGATAGAGCTTGTCGAGAAATCTTGGTTGCAGTCTTCTCTTTCTCCCAATATTCTTTTGTGTTTCTAGCCATTCCAAGGCACAAAAACCAGACGAACCATGCAACCAAAATTGCGCTATATTACCACGACACTCTATTTAGTGGTACAGATCTTGATAATGCAACGTCTGCCAAAATAACAAAAAGTATTCAATCTGATTTCTACTTTGGTGTGATGGTCATTCTCGACATCCCATGACGAATATGCTTGATAAGTTTTTTCAAGCTTATAAAATGGTCAAACATCATTTTTATTTTGCATTCCACATGACTCACGTCATTTATCCACTTTTTATCAATACATTCCATAAAATTCACAACTTATAATCTACAAAAAGCTTTATCAAACATGTACTAAAAACGGCCCCCTTCTCTCACCTCCGGTAGCATGAGTTCAAGGCTTCTATTTCTATGACAAGAAGAATGATTATAATGCTTGGTTTTCCTACACTTCGACATTGAACTCTAGTGAGTATAAAGGGACTATGAACATCACGAGATCAGACCCTCTACAGCAGAAAACTCAAGACCTTATGGTAGTAGGAGGTGTTGGAACTAGTGGTTTCATCGTGGCCAGAGAGATTATATTAAAGGATAAATTTCACATCGATTAAATATTCAAATATAGACCAATATATAAAAATTTGAGCTACAATCCTTTTAACAAAATTGAAATTTTAAGATAGAATCTCAAATCTTAGCCCATGTTTGACATCCTTCACTTCACTTTAATTTATTTTTTATACTCACTTTCAACTATAAATTCACACAATAAAATATTTTACACATAATTTCAAAAAATTTTCCTACTTTAAATCACACATACTCCAAAAATTATTATTCAAAACAATATTTTTTTTTTAAAATTTTATGGATGGCAAATAAGAGCCTAATATGATATCAGAGTTCATTAAACTCAAAATGAGCAAATCGATATAATTAAGACTCAAATAAATAAATGAACTTCAAGATTGATCAGCTAAAAATAAAGCATCATTTTGTGGGGCACCACATCGGTTAATTACCGAAACATAGATCAATATATAAGGATTTGAGCTACTTTTCTTAGTACCTTTAGTAATACACCGAACGGAAAAGTTCACATTCTCACCTTAAAACTTAACAAATTTATATTCAATGATATTATCATTAATTTTTTGTTGTTTTCTCTAACAACACAACATAAGCATTTCTTATGCTCGCAAATTTCAACCCTAAACATGAAATAAGCGGGGAATGTAATGGAAACAAGAGGAATAGTATCTCCATTGGCTGAAAAATAATGCCTACTTTGTGACTAAGAAATGATGAGGCAAGGCAAGGGACCATTATCTAGTTGAAATGTTAAGTGTATGGTATCGTCAAATTCGAGGTACAATGTATTTAAAGAGTACGATTACTGTTCTCACGAGAGCTATATTACCAATTATTGACCTACATTAGTCCTACTATTTATTTAAATAAATACAAAAAATTAACAAGTAAATTGTTTGCTATTATATTTTATAGATGAAATTAAGCTATGATTGACTAAGTAGTTGACAATATTGATTTTAAGATTAGAATGATGAGAAAAATATGCTAAGATCACAATTTCACCTTAATTATGCCCTTTATTTATCATAAAAAGTCATGAAAAATACTAATATCAGTATTCCGTTGAACTTTTCAAATTTAATTAAATAGCCCTCCAAGGAAATTCAATTCTACTTAATTAATTAAACCTACTATATTTCTATGTGAATTTCAACAAAATTAATCGCATCTCACCAAGAAATTCATTGACGACCACAATAATTTTAGAAGTGTTAAGGAATGCAAGTTTCGGGCGGCCTCACAACATTTTTATTCTAGAATTTGCATGAAGGCCCCTGAACTTCTTATCAGCTGCCAATTGAGTCCTTGAACTTTAACCAGCTCCCAATTTAGTCCTCTACCTTTTCAATTGCTCTCCATATATTTCTCTACGTTTGGCTCAGTCACTTCCCACCTTTAATCCATCTTAAACATAAAAGAAAATTAACACAAATTAGACCTAGCAAAGACTATTTCGTGCAAAACTATAAAAGTTAAAGGCTCTGAATAAGTGTAAAAACAACACTTATCAACCACCAACCTCTTTCGTCTTTTGTAATTTTGAACTAAGTGGTTTTTCTAAGTTTTAATTATAAACGTTGCAAAACATTCTTCGAACCCGATACCATTTTTATTTTCCAAAAATACCACCACTTTTTCTTTTTCCTCCTTTTTGCAAGCAAAATATACCATCACTTTATACTGTTGACTGGGCAAGGGTGGCTCCAATTTCAGATTATCACAATTTGAAATGGGGCTGAGATTCAGATTGAACGTATGTTTGGTCCACATATGAGGATCACATTTTTTTAAAGTCCATTCAGATTCAAATTATTGTGACGGACGAATTTTGTGTGATTGTGACTTAATATAATGTTTGATTGTGACATAATCTAATTATTACTTAAGCATATACCATCATGTGACCATCTTATTTTCGAAGGAGGGGCGGGGGGGGGGGGGG